ATCATCCTCTCTTGTTCGGGGAAATCCCAATACAGATCACAAGTAGCAATGACTCAAGAGGATATCAATATATCTCACCTCGAGTTTTATAAAGTATCGCGAAGCAAAAGGAACAACACATGATAACCAAAGGTTCACTTGTATGTCATTCTTGTAATCATAGGGATCGATATGGATGTCCACAATCCGACTATCAGTCATTGAACAAAGGAGTTTTGTTCATGTCTATGTTTTACCGAACCTCCAGGGTCACAAGCTTAAGGTAATCATGATCTTCTAAGTGTTAATAGGATGGAGTAACGAGGAAATATTTTTGAAATAGTTTTGTTAATATTCGAAATAGTTTCGAGAGGAACCGAAAGTGTTTCGGGGTCACCGGAAGGGTTTCAAAGTTTATCGGACAATACCGGGTATTGCCAATAAATAATATATATATAAGTGGAAATGCTTCCGGAGATGTTAAATTCATAACAAAAGGCTATAATAATAGTTAGGATGGTTTTATATTTAACTTAATACCAATGGGCCTCAAAAGGACAAGTGGTGGAGGGCTACTTGGTCCACTTGGGCCTAATAGATGGAGGCGCCCCCTTCCTCCTTGTTGAAGGAAGGCCGAATTGGAGGGTTATTCTTCCCCTCCTTGGATGGCCAAAGGGGAAGGTTTTCCTTCCCCTTGTGGTGCCCCTCTCCCCTCCCTCCAACCTATATATACTTGAGTATTTTGGCCCTTTGTACACACAAGTTTTGGAGCCTCGTCTAGTCCTCACCGGTTATAGTTCTAGTTGGTCCTAGTTGACTAATTAGAGCTATACCTAGATCCTCTAATACCCATAATTAGAAGTCCAGTGTGGTTCTAATCTCCTCCCTCTAGTTCTTCGACGACGATTAGCTCTAGATGGCAAAGCACTGTCGGGTTGTGAAGACCGCACGCTTGAAACTCGTAGAGAGGTCATGCTTTCGGTCTTTCGTTCGAGGGACTGCTCATGGGTGGTCCACGAGATCGTTCATCTTCGGTTCGAGAGACTCCAAGTACGATCTACACCCACTCGTCTTCTTCTGCTGCAACTCAGAGTCGGTAACGATCTGATCCAAACCGTTCATCGCATCTTCATATTGTTCCTGGGTGATCTATCTCTCTCTCTCTCTCTCTTTGATCTTCAATACCAAGTTCATGTGAGCCGTCTCACATGATCGGGATCAATTCGATGTAATCAGTGGTGTGTTTGTTGGGATATGATGAATTATATCAGATTGTTCATTGAATTCAATTGAATCTTTTGAGGTTTCTTTGATGTATAATTAAATAGATCTGTTTGCTCTCTGGTCTATCTATCTTCTTAGGCCAAGTTTGATAGGTATTTCTTCAGAGGGGTGGTGCATTTGTAGTGGTTTCTAATCTTGCAGTGTTCTATATCACAGTGACGGAAAGGGACAAGGCACTTAATGTATTGTTGCCACTAAGGATAAAACGATGGTTTTTCTTGTCATATTTCTTGATATTTTACTATCTACATTATGCCATCTTGCTTATTGCAATTCTCTATTTACCGTGAACTTAATACTTCGAGATGCATGCTAGTATATTGGTCTTGGGGTGGAGTATTAGTTATAGATGCAGTTGGATATCAGTCTACATATCACATATGTAATGCATATATGAGATAATAGCATGAATGATCATATATTCATAAATATAAAATACTGCAATTTAATCACTGCCCCACTATAATTTGTTTACAACACTATTTTGCTATGCTTATGAGAGATGCCTAGTGAACCTTGCCCCATGGGTCTATCTACATTACTGGAAACTTTAGAAAAATAGTATTCTTTGTTGTACCATTTTATCTTTCTATCAATTACCATTATCCCTTGCAATTTAATATTGTAACTAGCAGGATACGAATCTTGACAACCTTAACGTGTTGGGGATACATTTGCGGTGTGTTTTGTGTATAGGACTATAGGTACCAATGGCTTTGTTTGTGCGGAGAACTCCTTCTGGTTCGATAAACCCTAGTTCTCTACTGAGTGAAATACTTATTGCTAGGTTACACCACCCATTCACCCTTATAGTTAGGGGTTGCCCAACCACTCTTACGAGAGAGCAAGCAAAGCTTCCTTTGGCCTCGATGTTGGATCGCGCCCAAGAAGTTTGCGAGAAATTTTTGCTGAATGAGTGAACATGTATTGCTTCCGGTTTTGGTGTCAAAACGACTGTGTGGTCCTTGTCATTGATTAAAATATTGGTAGCAAAATTGAATGGTTGTCGTAGATGTTGAAGCAGTCCCTATAGCAGCCAAACCAGCTTGGGTAACGGGAATCAAAGCAAAAGTCAACCACGAAATGAAATGGGGCGAACTAGGGAAAATATTCAGCAGTTTTCAGAGGAAGTCGGACGTTCGGATAACTGGCCAGTTGGTCAGAGCATTGTACATACGTCTAGGTAGGTCAATTTCAGGTCTTCTTCTTCGGGAATGGATCTCAAAAATTGGGACATGGAGAAGATATTTTTTGGGTGGAATTCGAGGAAATTGGCTAAAGAAACACAAAGAGAGGTTAGATGTACTAGTAAGGTAGTAACACATCAAATCCATGGACCAAAATGAACAAACTCTCACAAGAACCAATAAATTGCAAGAAATTGAATGAGGCTGTTTTTGTGGGGATTCTAAAATTGGGCTAGAAAGTGAGCGAGAGGGGCTCGTGATCAATGAAAGCTCATGATACCAAATGATGTAAGACCAAGTCTGAATTTACGCCCAACCTTAACAATTTGGAGATGAACAAGGAGAAAAAACACAAATGGCTCAAGGATCACAAGGGGATTAACTAGATTGAACAAGTACCATTACACATGTGCTCTCCAAACATCCAAACAAAGGTACACATAGATCCACAAGCAAGAAAAGTAGAAGTAAAAAGGACAAATTCTTCCCAAATCTCTAAACAGATGGGGCCTTAAGAGATGTTCTTCTCCAAACCCTAGAGAGAGAGGAGTTCATGATGATCCAATTGGTGAACCATTCTCCCTTAAGAGGTCTTCATCCTCTAGGAGGAGATATGATGAGCAAGAATCTCTCAAGGTTTAGGTATATGCTTTGCTAACCCTAATGAGAGTCCATGGTAGAGTATATATAGTCTAGAGCAAAAGAGGGAGGTAGGAGAGGGAAACATGGCCTCATGGCCTGATTTGCACGTAGACAGGGGTCGAACGTCTAGGGATATGCCAGACATCCGGGTTGGAGGCCTCCGGGTATTATACGATAGGGATACAGGAGATACACAAACATGTTTCAGAATCGTGCCGCAGATCAAGACCCAGAATCTGTGTGCCACAAATTGCCTCCCCCACACGAGGGGTTACCAACTAAAGTTGCATTAAGTGTTGTAGAGCTCCATTGCACAAATAATGACCACTAAGAGGGATCTCATGCACACAATGGCAATAATGAAACTTTTCAAAATTTCAATGGATTCTAGTTTTCGCTGGATATATTGCATACATATAAGTGTGTGACTAGGAAGTGATTTGCACACATACACATACACAATCTTTCCCCAACCGTTCCACACTCGACCAAAGAAACTACCCGTTCCCTCAAAAAGGGCAACCTATTCAATGAAAGGCCGACCGACGCAGGCATTAGATTGGTCACCCTGTATATCGTCCGATCACCTAGGCATCAACCGTTGGATCCTACATAAATGTCTTCCTTCCGTCCCTTCGGATTCAATCAAAAAGGCAGGTGAAAAAATTGTCCCCGTGCCCGCGGAAGCTCGTCGTCACTGGCTGTCCCCACGTACGTAACGCACCCACCAATCTCGTTACTACATACCTTGCTTGGCCGCTCCTAGCAGTAGCAGCCTTGCCATAACACCTCGCCTCACTACTGTTTCTAGCACCACACTTTGTCGGTCCTAGGAACCATGTCGCCATTGCAACACCTCGCCTCACTGGTTCCAAACCACACCTCGGCAACATCATAGCCATCCACTCCCTAGCATCGATGTCGGCAGCTCCCAGCATCCCCGCTTGGGGTTCCAGCATCGACGCGGGCCGTTTAAAGCGCCCCCACTCGGGGTTGCATCATCCTAACTGGCCAATTCCATCATCGACGGTGGCCGTCCCCACATCACTTGTCGCACCATTTAAAGCGGGCTCCGGCCACCCCTGGCAGCATTGATTCGCGTGGGGGTCACGTGCTCTCGCCCTGGTTGCCTTGGAGAAAAAGCAGAGCTCGGGGAGGAAAAAAGCAGGAGCGCCTTGTCATGGCAGTCCCTAGCTTGTGGCAGTAGGCAACGATGGTCAGGGTGTCTAGCAGAAGCGCTGCAAATCGATACCCACTTGCTACGGTGTTGGTGAGGGAGGGAAGGTGAAGTCGGGCATGCAGAAAACATTTTTGAGAAAAATCGAGAGGGTAAGGCTGGGGAAGAGATTGGTGTGTGCCGGAAAAACACGTGGCATAAAAGACGCATGGGTGTGGGATCTTGCGTAGATCAGATAGCGCGCGTGCAACCGGCGTGAGCGCCAAGCTGGTCGGCCGATCAAGATCTTTTTCCTCCGTTCTCCCCTTGTAAAGTAATATAAGACGTTCTACATCACTACAGAATGCAATATACCCAAAGCCGAGGGACCTCTCCGCCAGCCTAGAACATTAGGGAAGTTGAGCCTCCGCCTCCACCCCCAAAACTCAAGGGGCGCAAAAAATGGAACCGAGCCCCCCAACGGACGGCAGCAGCCAGTAGCGAAAACCAGTAGAGCGGCCGCGGCCGCGCCTACCTTCGCTCCACCCCATCCCATTTCCCCTCCTCTATTCCAACCGCCTTCCTTCCACCTCAGGTTTCCTTCGGCTCAAAAAAATGGCGGACTCGCAGGTGAATTTCCGCTTCCAAAACCGAAACCTCCCGCCGCCGGCGCCATCGTAGTCTGCTTCGCGCTGACGGGGTGTTTTTTGTGTGCGCAGGTGGAGGGGCTGCGGAAGGCGTACGCGGCAATCATGCTAAATATGGCCAAGGAGTCGGCGGCGCGGGTGCTGGCGGCGGAGCGGAGCGTGGCCGTGCTGACTGGAGGGATTGCGGCGGCCAAGGAGGATGGCGTCGCGGCTCTCGTCCGGCTGAAGAATATCATGAAGGACAGGGTACGACTGCCCCCCCGTTCGAATCGCTTGCTTTGATTTACTTTGGTTGGATGGATGATTGGGTCGGTGGTTGCGTTCGAGTTGAGTTGTTTTTGCCGATGTGTGAGCGTACGGGAAGTTTGGAGTTCGGGTGTTTGAGAGTATGCGCGTTTTAGGGCAGGTTTTGGGAACCGATTGCTTAGGTTGTCCTTCGGAATTCTTCTGGTTTCTGTTCGCGAGATGTTGACGGTGCAAATCCCAAACCATGTTTGTCCGATGTGCCTGCCGTTTGGAGCTTGTTTGAGAGGGTATGTTCTCGCCTTGTTAACAGATTAGGGAAGCTGGAGCCTGGCGCGATTTCGTGCTTATACTTCATCCACTCTTGATGGAATTTAGACATTTGAAAGGGGATTTTCTCTATCTGATTGGATTGCCGCGGGCTTCCAGACATGGGAAGGTTCTCTTGCTCTTCAGACAATCGGCAGGTTGCTCGAGTAGGACATGAGCATTAAGAAACCTTGTGATTTAGTTTCTCCAAATCCGTTTACTGTTACAACTTTTTTGTGATATGAGGCAAATTTGGCAATTTGTAAGCTCATAAATCGGATGGCATATTGATGATATGCCGCATAGACTACAATATTACCGATCTGCTTTACCAGTCCTTGTACTTGTTCACGTAGTAATTTTGTGATCTGTTCAGATTGTTGTGGTGAAACCATGAAAGGGATGAATAACTTAATTTCTTATAGCAATTTACTTTAACTGTTTGAAAAGCTGAAGTATTTTACAGGCAGTGGCACTTCAATGTTGGTGAATATAGTTCCCTAAATCCCGTCCCATTTTTTTCAAGTGATCTTGCAGATTGAATTTCATTTTTTTATGATCGTTGCCTAGTAGCATAGAACCTTTGAAAAGGCCCCTTCTTGTTCTAGGCAAATGCAACCATGGTTGTAAAAGGCATTCTTGAATTTAGGCTTGCAACTTGAAGGCCACGACAACTAATCCTGATCTTCTACCCAAACCATGGATAACTCTGAGTCACTGCTAAGAAGCAATGAGCGCACAAGTATCTATTCATTGTCACGTTTAAGAATAGAAGACAAACGTGGTTCATACTATTTCCGCAATCCCCCTTTTACAAATCAACCTAGCTTATGTCTCCCTACTCTTATTTTCCTAGTACTACTTGGTGATTTTAGTCTGTCTACTATCTCCGCGGTCTTGTTTTTTATAATGTGTATAATTTTTGTATTTTATTATGCTATTTGTTTGTTACCTTTTCTTATTTCTTCTCAAGTTCTAGTTAATTGTTTTGACTATTGTAGTTGAATAAAGATTGATATGCCACATGCTTGCACTTTTTCATTACTCCGGGAGGAATATATGGACACTCAGCTAGTACTCGTAAACAAAAATGAATGCTTTCCCTCTTTAATAAATTTTCATTTCATAGAAACCCAAACCTCTTGCCTAGGGTACATGTATAGCACATGTCGATTGGCCAAACCAACCCTGCCAGAGTTACAATTTACAAGTGTCTAGGGTTGATGACTGGTTGTGATCTTCACCTATGAATCCTTATTGACAGTTGTATGGGCTTGCTGATGGTTGCAGTGTCCATTGATGTATGCCTGTGCGGTATTTCTGTCGAATCACTATGTGGCAATGCCAATCATGTGGGGGGATGTTATATTCACATGTTAAGGCCATCGTGCTTGTTCTACTATCTATTGCCAGGATGATATCCTGAATTCCTCCACTGATCTTCTCCAATCATTGCTGGGGTTCTATAAATAATAACATTAAGTTATTCGAGTTATGTTGTAGTTATCTTCCATTCATATTGTATGTCAATAATTACTCTTCCATCAGCGCAGTGAGTAAATCGCTCAGACAGATGGAGAATACTATCTTACATGTGTTGCATTGCCTAGCTTCAGCTAATCGAACGAATCTCCTATATTTTCTAGTGTTCCCTATAAAAATAACACAAGGAGGGTGAGCTAGCTCCCCAACATCCACAGTTGATCCGACCAGTTACACAAGGGCTGCATGCATGCCACATTTTATAGAATCAAGTCTTAATCATACTGACAAGTTGAATAGAATGATTTGCACCAGTCAATTGGATTGATACGCCATCAGCTGTTGATGCTGATTTTTGTTTAAAGAATGTTTGCAACTGCACCAATACTTGTCCAGTTAATTTAGCTTTCATTTGCTCAAATATGATTACAGTTTTAACTAGTTGTAGCCTTTTTAATTGTCTCAGTTTTAAGTTATGCATGTTTGAAACTTTTTTTCATGTTCACAGATGAAGCAGGTGGAATTGCAATCTTTGGCACATGTTAGAAAGATCAGTGAACTTCAGGAGCAATTACATGATGCTCGAAATACTGTGGCATCCCTTCAAGTTGAGCTGCAGAGAGCAAATACCGAATTGGAGGAGACACGGAAAACTTTAGCAGAGGAAAGAATGAATATCCTTCCAACCTGTGGTAAGATTGGTTCAAATAAAAGCAAGATCTCTCGTTCTAAGGTGCATCTCCAAAATAGAAGTTTGTCATCAAAGGACAAAAATACCGTTTGCCGCGTTTCCAGTGACGCCAAGGAAAATGGAGCTGTTGTAAACATGGAAAACCTGTATCATCGTGGTACTGATATGTCATCATTTATAGCAAGAAATAAGAAACGTGAGTTGTATCGTAATGGGTGTACACAGCGCATTCGCGCTCTTAAACAGCGGGATCCTGCTGCAGACTCCTCTAAACAAAGCAGCAAGGAGGCTAGTGCGTCGAATAACCATTCAAAGACTGGAAAGAGCGATAGTGTTAGGAGCACTAGACAGACGAGATCCACCATCGAACAGATACTTCAAACAAAGTTTCTGGCGAACTGCAAGCGCAAGAGAGGTCAACGAAGCAGGCCTGGTTATAAGCATGATAGTTCTGATGTGCATGTTAAAACAGAAGATAAATCATCTGGCACCTCTGATGAAAACGGGTGTTTGCTGCTTCTTCAGGCACTCGAACATGATCTTTCACCTCCAGATTTGTTTTCCGGACATAGTGGTGAGGGGTTAACTGATTTGAAGGACGATTTGTTGATGGGTGGGAAGGTTGCTGACTTCAATTCTTGCATGGCCTCCCCTGGCCCAATAGATGCACATGCAATCAGCAACATGCGAGCGACAAGGAGAAAAAGATCTAAGATGGTTAGGGTTTTTGAAGCTGGTTGTTCTGAGTCCAAAAGTGTTCCAGGTAACAATCTGCTAAGATCAACCAATGAGGATACCATTTTTGAGAATGGGCAGAGCTCTGAAAGGATAGATGATCACTCTGATACATCTGCCATAAATAATGCTTCCGTTTTAAGTGATGTGACTAAAATTCTGATTCATTCGAGTGGTGCCAATAATGATCAATTTCAGTCTGGGGGCAGCTCCCCACTAGTATTTCAGTCAACCAAAAGTCAAGTTGATGGTGAAGGTACCTATTAGAAACCTTGTGTGTTTACATGAAATACCTTTTTTATGTAGATTGAACTCTAACTAGCCTAAAATTATGCAGGTGAATTACGAGCGAAGCATCCTGACTGCAGAACACCGGAGAATAATTCAGCAAAAAGGAAAGAAGTTAAAGTGGATGAAAGTTGCAATTTAACTTCAGACAGAGCTGATCATTTAATCATCAGCTCCTTGGAGAAAGAACAAAACGCGAAAGCAGCATCCGGTGTTTCCATGCAACCTGAAGGTGTGAGATGTATCAAATACACATTCAATCGCAGGAAACGGAAGAATGTGTCTTTGAACAGCAGCAGTCTGGTTAGTCTAGCTGACAAACAAGAGTCTCAGGCAAAGCCTGAGACACAAAATCACTTCGTAGAATCACCTAAAGGCGACAACCAACTAGCCCATGTTGCCCAACAGGTCTGTTATTTTATTTTCTGTGTGCTGCACGTCCACTTACGATGCATTATATGTATCCAAGTGTTTGACAAATCTTGTTTTGCAGCTCATTTTGTTGTCAGAGCTGAAGTGGTAAGAATTTTGCAATGCATAAACCTGAAAGGCCGGATGGGTTCAGTGCAATGATGGTTAAGAGATATGCTTCAATAAGTGATGCAATAGATTCTTCAACGGACGAGAAACTACATCTGGTGGCAAGCAGCAGCAGCAGCAGCAGAGCAGTCAAGAAATCTGGATCATAGTTTAGCATGCAACAAAGAGTGACTTAACATATACCTCAGCCAGTTGTTATTTTAGAAGAATGTACAAATTAGGTAATGAATTTGGAACTGTTATTTAGTAGATGTTGAATTGAAACTATTGGTTTATAAGCAGGTGATTATTTTTGAATTATTATGTGGGGTCATCGGAAACTCGATCGGGAAAGGATTGCTTTCTGGAGCAAAAAAGCGGTTCTCCGAAGTTGAAAGCAGCCTCTATTCCCGAGCCTTGGTGGTGTTGGGATTTCATAAAAGATAAAATTGGTTTGGCGCGTGCGGAAGACAATGAAGTTTTTTCTTTAATATAATGTAGTGTTTTGGTGGACCCCTTGTGATAATGGTTCTATGGTACTTTCTAATTGTTGAATGTATGGTTTTGCATGTATATTGTATATCTCAGCCCACCTTTTAGTCTTTGTATAGTAGAGGTCGAGGCCCACATTGTATATCATATATACGTGCATATGCACCCGATCAATGTTATTGTGTGTTGCATTGCCAAACCTATCTCTCTACATGGTATCATACCTTCAATCCTACCCTAACCCTTAGCCGCCGTCGGCGCCGCGTCTTTCCCAAGCCGTCGCCGCCCCCACCCTAGCTTCCGCCCCTACCTTCAAAACCCTAACCTCGGCGTCGCTATTGCACCCATCGCCGTTGCTGTCCCCTGTCCTCCCGCACCGCACCCGCCGTCCCTTGCCCTCCTGCATCGCAGCCGCCGCGCCTGCACTACAGCCGCCGCGCTATCCCACCCCGCTGTCGCTGCCCTCCCTCACAGCCGCGGCAATCCCTCCCGCCGCTCATGTTCTCCATAGCCGCCGCACCTCCCTCCCTCTCGCCGCATCATGTCGTCCCCCGGCTCCTCCATCTCCCGCACCAATCCGTTCGTCGGTCCCGATCCCATTCTCATCCGCGACCTCAACATCCTTGGTCGTGTTCCCGTCATCCTCGATCACAATACCTCCACCTACTATGCCTGAAAAACATATTTTTTCTCTTGTCTTCCGTGAGTACAATCTCCGGGATTACGTCGGCTCCGTGGACTCCAACCTCATGGTGAACGATGACGAGTGGATGACCATCGATGCCACTCTCATCCGCTGGTTCTACACCACCATCTCGAAGGATCTTTCCCACACGATGGTCTCTGATGAGGATGATGATCATGCCGTTTGGACGAAGCTCAACGGCCTCTTCACCGACAACAAGCTTCAGCGCAAGGTTTTCTTGCACAACGAGTTTTTTAGGTGTCAGCAGCATGACTCGTCTATTGACGACTTCTGCATGCGCCTCAAGAAGCTCTCTGATGAGCTCCGTGATCTCGACGAGAAGGTTTCCACTGAGCTTCTTCTTAGTACTCTCCCCGCCGGCCTGAACGAGGAGTTCGGAATGCTACCTCCAACCTCACCCTCATCCCAACCTGACGTTCCCCAAGGTTGTGGCGTACCTGAAACTGGAGAAGCGACGGATGCAGATGACGCGTACTCGGGCTACCCACACCACCCTCGCTGCGGGGACATCTCGCGGTGGTGCCCCGCATCCGCCACCGCCGGGCTACCCCCTACCGCCACCGCCGGTCCAGTAGGTGCCCACTGCCGATCGCCGCCGAGGCGGTCGCAAGCCGCAGCCGGCGGGTACCCAGGGAGGGGCACCCCGCCAACAGTAGCAGCAGCAGTACCAGCTGGCACCATGGTACGCCGGGCAGAACCCATGGACGGGTGTTGTCCACACGTATTCTATGCCGGTCCCGCTCGCTCCCGTCCCCGGCCACTTCGGCGCTCATATGGCGACTCACCAGGCACTGCATGCTGCCCCGCAGCAGTACGTGCCTCCGCTGCCCTATGGCTATCTGGCGCCCTATGGACCGCTGCCTCAGGTAGGCGGTCTCCCTCCGCTGCTCTCGGCACTACCACCGCAACCGCAGCCGCATCCGTCGGCACCGGCGCTCCCTCCAACGCCCTGGGATCCTTCTTTACTAGCAGCACTGCACTCCGCTCCTGTGTCTACCTTGGGGCCTCACTGATCTCTTGGTCGTCCAAGCGACAACTCATGGTTTCCCGCTCGAGCGCCGAGGCAGAGTATCGGGCAGTGGCTAACGCCGTCGCCGAATGCTCCTAGCTTCTCAACTTCTCCAGGAGTTGCTTTGTGATGTTCACAAGGCCACGCTTGTGTACTGCGACAACATCTCTGCCAACCCAGTTCATCATCGCCGCACGAAGCATATTGAGCTCGTTCACTTCGTTCGCGAGCAAGTGGCCCTTGGGCGCTTTCGGGTTCTCCACGTCCCGACGGCGCAACAGTTCGCTGATGTGATGACTAAGGGATTTCCTACTCCCGTCTTTGAGGAGTTTAGGTCCAGTCTCCGCGTCTCCGGCGACGCTTCGACTGCATAGGGGGGGGGGGCGGTGTTGAATATATGGTTTTGCATGTATATTGTATATCTTGGCGCACCTCCTAGTCTTTGTATAGTAGAGGTCGAGGCCCACATTGTACACCATATATACGTGCATATGCGCCCGATCAATGTTATTGTGTGTTGCATTGCCAAACCTATCTCTCTACACTAATCAATCCACACGGGTGGCGAAGTTTCTTACGTTGGCGGTTGTGTACTATGTTTCAACAAGAGGACTTTCTGTTCACATCATGCAGCAAAGGCGCGTCCGATGAAGAAGACGAGAGTTCCCATCACTTAGGGCTACTCCAACCGACCGACCCATTTCATTCGGTTATGTCGTTGAGTCCGCGAGGCCAAAATCACGTCCTAACGCGTAGGCGCAAAGACATTCTTTGTCCGTAATTAGGTCGGATTTGCATCCACACTGACACGATATGGATGCATCGCGTGTCCGCTTGATGTCCGGCTTGAGTCCGCATGCCAGCTTGTAACAGCCCGAGACCGATGCTCCAGACGCCTTTCATGTTCTTCGTTGTCGTCATGTGTTTTATTTGTTTGTTGCATTCATCATGTGCATTGCATTCACATGTTTTCATAGAACTTGCATCCACTAGTAGTTGCCGCTTCTTCCTTATCTCGGTCGACCTTCTCTCAAATCAACCAGACCGCTCTCTTCACTCTCTTTTCTGAGCCCATCAAACCCCTTGCCTTCGTTGACCGTTTCGAGACCAACCGAGTTTTCTGAGTCCCTCTTGTCTAGCCGTTTGACCCTCTCTACACTTTACTCAGACCCCTTGCGCGCGTCCGAAAGTTGTCCTGAATCCGACCTGAGCAGTCATGACCGATGGGTCCGGATCACCCCGAAACATCCCTAAGATATCTTTGGTTTCTTTTTTTGGACTCTCTACCTATTTTTTCCGGAGACGTCCAATCGTGATCGGATGACCCAATAACTACCTCAAGCTAACCCCTTTCTATAAATAGACCCTAACCCTAAAGTTTAGGATTAATGTCCCATCCATCCGTGTCCGCCGCCGCCACTGTTCTCTCAGGATCCATCCCGAGCCAACCACCTCTCCAGATCCATCCACCAACCAGCGCGCCTCCTACCCTGAGCTCCTCTCATGCTCCTCCCATGGCGCCCTTGTTCCCAAGAACCTCGACCCCGCCACCACGTCCGCGCCGCCCGCTGGAGCAGACCAGCAGCTCCACCGCTCCTGCCCCATCTCTCCTTCCTTCGCCTGCCTTCTTCTCCCTTCTCCTCTACTCCTCACTTTCCCTCTCTGTCTCTCGCAGGAGCACCCAGCCGGAGCCCCCGCAACCTCAAGCCGCCAGTTCCTCTGACAGGAACAGGCTATGACTGTCAACTAGTTTTCAGGAAAACAAGGAAAAAATCACTCAATTCAGCGGAAGAATTTGGGATTGCTTCAAGAGGGATCTGAATACAAGAGCTAGGGTTCGCCAGCCGGGACACGGCGGCTTCAAGGGCCAAGCCCAATCATCCAGAATGCCCCTCTCCACAAGCCGGAGGAGGGGTTAAAAAGAGGTTCAGAAAGAAAAAGGTAGAAAGCGACAGGGACCATTTACAGCGACTGTGTCCCATTCAAGGTAAACGAAGGCGCGTGCATCACAACCGTCCATCTTGAGATCTGGAGATCGACGGTGGCTAATCTCGCAGTTGTCTTGACAGCTACAGGCCTGACAATTCCCCCGGACTGAGAACAGACTTGCCCTCAAGGCTGGAAACTAGGAAAAACCTTCTGTATGAGCGCTGCATCTTCCCAAGTGGCATTTTCCCTTGGCAGATTGAGCCATTTGATGCGCCATTGTACCACCGGAATGCTGATGTCTCCTTATACTCGTGGAATCAACTTTCTTTCGAGGACAGCTTCAGGTTGGATTAAGATATGACCTTGTTCATCCAATAGTGGAAGCTTGGGGTTTGGTATGGCTTCAGGGCCTATGTGCTTCTTCAGTTGGCTGACATGGAATGTTGGATGGAGTTGGCAGTCATCTGGTAGCAGTAGTCTGTAGGCAACTGACCCCACTTTCTCCATGCCTCTGAAGGGGCCATAGTACTTGGAATGTAGCTTTAAGTGTTTATGGATGCTCAAGCTTGTGTGTCTGTAGGGCTGTAATTTGACATAGACCATGTCTGCTACCTCCAAGTGTTTATCATACCTTTTTCTATCAGCAAATAATTTCATTCTCTCCTGTGCTTTGATTAAGTTTTGCTTGATCTGTTGTGCAATACTGTTTCTGTCCAACTCAGCTTGATGGTCATCTCCTTCAACTGGGGGGAGCATTAATTCAGCAATCTGAGGAGGGGCCCTAGCATATAGTGCTTGGAATGGTGTCATCTTGAGAGAAGTGTGAAAGGTTGTGTTGTACCACCATTCAGCCATGGAAAGCCATTTGTGCCATTTCCTGGGATGAGCAAAAGCCATACACCTCAAATAATTCTCCAAGCATTGGTTTACTCGCTCTGTTTGGCCATCCGTTTGTGGATGATATGATGTGCTCATGTGTAGTTTCACTCCCATGTTGGTGAACAACTTTTGCCAAAGATTGCTGGTAAATATCCTGTCTCTATCAGTGACTATGACACTGGGAAGGCCATGGAGTTTGAAAATATTGTCAGTGAAGGCCTGGGCCACTGTTGGACAGTTATAGGATGTCTCATTGCTATGAAGTGAGCATATTTCGTAAATCTGTCCACCACCACAAGTATCAAATTCTTATGCTCAGATTTGGGAAGGCCTTCAACAAAATCCATGCTGATGTGGGTCCAAGCAAAGTCAGGGACAGGTAGGGGTTGGAGCAACCCAGGGGATGGAAAATGATGGGCTTTGTTGAGTTGGCAAACAGGGCATTGTTGCACAAAAGCTTGTACTTCTTTTCTCATTCCTGGCCAAGTGAATAAGATTTTCAGCCTGTGATAGGTTGATCTTTCACCAGAGTGTCCTCCCAATTCAGAGTTGTGGAAGGAGTTGAGAAGTGATGTCCTTAGTGCATTGTTGTGACCAACCACAATCTTCCCTTTGTATCTCAAAACTCCACTTGTGAGGGTGTAAGGCGGGTGTCCTGTGGGGGTAATTGCAAGCTGAGTGATGAGATCAGAGCACTTGGGATCATTTTTATAGCTGTTTACCACTTCTGTGATCCATGCTGGAATAGCAGTACTAGTTCCCAAAGTCAGAATAGCATGCTTGACTCTAGAGAGGGCATCAGCCACTCTATTTTCTTTGCCCTTTTTGTACTCAACTGTGAATTTGTAGCCCAACAATTTAATGAGGAGCTTATGTTGCACTCCTTCTGTTACTTTCTGTTCTTGGATGTGTCTCAAACTTTGTTGATCAGTTCTGATGATGAGTGAAGAAGAAGCAAAATAGTGTTTCCATTTTTTTATTGCTTTAATAATTGCTAAGGCCTCTTTGTCATAAGTGGACCAGCCAGCTGCTTTGGGTCCCAAGGCCTTACTGATAAATGCAATGGGCTGTCCCTTCTGCATTAGAACTGCCCCAATACCATAGCCAGATGCATCCGCTTCCAGGACAAATGGAAGGGAAAAATCAGGTAGAGCCAGGACTGGTGTTGTGGTCATTTTGTCCTTTAGTTGCTGGAAGGCAGTAGCTTGCTCATTAGTCCACTTGAAGCCCTCCTTTTTCAGTGCTTCAAACAGGGGTTTGCAAATCAAGCCATAGTTCCGGATAAATCTTCTGTAGTAACCAGCTAGTCCCAAAAAAACTCCTTAAATGTGTCACATTTTGGGGAGTAGGCCAGTTGACAATTGCTTCCACCTTGGCAGGGTCTGTGGAGACTCCCTTGTCAGTAATTACATAGCCCAGGTACTCCACCTTTGACTGTGCAAAAGTGCACTTAGAGATTTTGGCATATAATTGATGTTTCCTCAAGGCTTCCAAGACCAGAGCTAGATGTTCCAAGTGTTCCTCATATGTCTTGCTGAATATTAAGATGTCATCGAAGAAAACTAGCACACAGTGTCTTAATAGGGGGCCCAAAACAGTGTGCATCAGCTGTGTGAAACTTGGAGGTCCATTTGTCACTCCAAATGGCATGACCAGAAATTCAAATAGCCCTAGATGTGTGGTGAATGCAGTTTTTTCTATATCTCCTTCCTTCATTCTGATTTGGTGGTATCCACTTCGGAGATCTATCTTGGTGAAGATGGTTGCTCCATTGAGTTCATCCAGCAAATCTTCGATCATATGTATAGGGTATTTGTTTTTGATAGTATATGCATTTAGTTTCCTGTAATCGATGCATAGTCTCCAAGTGAGGTCCTTTTTCTTAACCAATATGGCAGGGGAGGAGTAAGGGCTATGGCTTAATCTGATAATGCCTTTCTGAAGAAGGTCCTTGATTATTTCCTCCAATGCATTCTTCTGGTGATGAGGAAGTCTGTAAGCTCTTTGGTTTATCACAGGAGCTTCAGGATCTAAGTTGATTGCATGATCACAATCTCTCTTGGGTGGGAGGCCAGTTGGTTCAGAGAAAACATCTTTGAAACTGTCCAGCATTTCAACTATTCCAGGTTTGTGTACCGTATCAGAAACAGTGTCCAATTGGACCGGTTGCATCCACATCAGAGCCCCAGTGAGCATGTCATCCAATATAGTTTCCATATCTTGTAGTATTGGAGTACAAGGACTTGTGGGTAAGCTTTCATCAAGAAATGTTATTGTTCCTCCAGCAGTATTTCTGACTGTTAGTTTCATTCTTGGTAGATCAAAGGTGACCGGACTGTGTCTGTACATCCAGTCAGCTCCTAGGATTATGTCATATCCTGTAAGTTGCAGGACTCTGAAATCAGACACAAGGTCAACACTCTGAATTTGATAAGGGGCTTGCAAACAGGAGAAGTCACTAAAAAGCTTTCCTCCATTAGCTACAGTAACTGGAACTTGTTTTACTAGAGTAATGTTGTACCCAGATTGAAGAGCAGCTGTTGGAGATATAAAAGTGGTGGTGCTG